AAAATGAAGGAAGCAAAGCATGAGAACGAGAGCAAGAAGAACGTGCGAGCTTGGCAAGACAGCTTGGAACGAACTAACCGACCAAGCACTGGAGCAGCTTACATTTCTATTCTTTTTTTTCGGGGGTTTCGGTTGCAATAATAACAACATACGTGTGTCTGTCGGTCTGTGTGTGTCTGACTGGAGACTGCAGACTGGAGTGCCACAACTCGTCTTGCCCCTACTTTAAGCCAATAATAAATAAAAATGCTTGTTACGCGCCACCCACAGTGGGGCCGGGCGACCCGAGGAATGTAATAATGGCGAGGCAGCTTCGTTTTTGGCCCCAAAAATTGCCAGAGCATCAAATTTATTTAGCAAACACAAACTTATATGAGGGTGGCCTTTGTAGCCTTTCTTTTTGTTGCCGTTGCTGCTATTGCTGTAGCTGGCAGCGCCATAAAGTCATCGAAGTTATAGTTTAAAATTAATTAAGTTTTGCAGCGCAATGCAATGAGCGAGCTAAACAATTCAATTAAAATTATGCGCCACGCTATCGCCACAAACAACAAAAAGCACTTGAAGTCGGGCCAGATGAGCTGCCCCCTAATTCCAGCACCATACCATCGAAATGGAGCTGGAGCTGCCTAATCTGTTACACGAGTGCTCAAGTGGCAGCCCAGGGCTTGCGACTCGAGCGTTTCACAAGTGCTTTTGCACATCGTTATTATAACAATAATAAGCAGCCGCAGTCGCAGTCGCGGCAACAACAGCAAGGCACGGCTTTTGCCAAAGATTAATTGTGTTTTGGTTTGCCAGATATATCCCATCCAAACCCCCCTCCTGCCCCAGCCAAACAACCGCTGCTGATGCCATGTAAAGTGGTAATGTAAAATGGGAGCACAGGCTAAAGAAATGACTTCAAATTGTTGCAGTCGAGAGCAGAGTAAAGTGCAATCCACTTGAAGGAATTTACATATCAGCAGCAGATACCGCCGGCACCAGCCCCAACACACACACACACACACACACACAAAGCAATCTGAGGTGCCTGGGCAAGGCAAGCATAAAGCCACTTAAGGTCCGTTCGAACAGCAAAAGAAATTTTACAAACTCTGAGCAAAAAAGTTGACTTCCGCGAACCTATGAAACTACTTGTACTATAGTTTTATGAATGATTTCTCCATATTAAATCGACTACTTTGAAACACAATCTGAAAAAAAAACCTATTCAATTAAATAGTTGCATCAATTAACAGTTAAGAGTAATCAATAAAGGATAGGCTAAGCAAAGCAATACAAACATCATATAATTAATCAACTATAATGTGCAGTTCCCAACCAATTGCTGTGCCTCACTATTTTAGCATTGTGTGGACTCTCTAGAATACGCGCTGTTTGTCAAATTAGTTTGAGAGTCTGAACGTTGCTTTTATTAAGAAGCCTGCCTGCTTGACTGCCTCATCGTTGCAGCCAAATGCATTAATCAATTTCATGTTTTCTTAAGCGCGCGCTCGTTCGCTCAGCGCTTTTGAGTGCTTAAATCGCGCCAAGAAAGAGCCCCAGAGCACCACATCGGGGCACTGGGAATGGCAAATGGAAGTGGAAGTGGAACTGAGAGTTGAGAGAGACTGACACTGGGACTGGGAGTGGGAGTCGGAGGTGGAGTGGGAATGTGCGGTGCAGTGTTGGGCCAATGTCTGGGGACGTTTTACGTATGAGTGGAATAATCAATTTCGAGGATCATAAACAACTTTTAATGAAGTTGTTAAGTGCCAGCAGCTAGTTTTTCAATGCGCTGCCAAAGTGCGCGGCTCTTGCGCAGCACAGCGGCTTGAGATAAGAATATATACATATATGGACGCAGCCATTCGGACATAGTACTTACTAATAGGGAAGACACATTTGAGGGGGATCAGGGAGGGTCAGTGGCGGAGGCGGAGGTGGGGGCAGAGGCAGAGGCATGCCAGACGTCCGGACGTAATGGCCACGCAGTTTCTGTTTGGCTAGTCAAAATACACAAAAAGAGAATTGGGAAATAAAAAATTAAGAAAAACTTCAGCTTGACGCATTTCCATAATTGCTAAATTATGCAGCAATCGCCGGCGCGCTGCTAGGCGTTAGAAAGGGCTCAAGTGGTGTGTGTGTGTATGTGTGTGTGGGGGGCCTTTGTTTACATTTCGGCGTTTCGGGTAAATTAATTTTCTATATCATTTCAAACAAATGCCCTGCAGGCAATCGGGCATGCTTGTTCGAAACGACAAAAAAGAGCTCAGCTTAAATATTTATAAATAAACAGGTGATTGCTTTCTGAAAGTGAATTTTCCTTATAAACTATCCCTCTTAATATTTATAATTATAGTTCTGATGTGAGCTTTCTTTGAATCTCCCTTTATTAATATAACAAGAAAATAGTATTTGTAAAAAAATACTGCATTTGTTCAACAAATATTAATGTGGAAAGCAGAAGTTGCAAAAAATCGATTCTCAATTGAAGAAATTTTGATATCTCAGCTAGAACCTGAGGCTGTTTAGATAAACCAAAGGAAGGATTAGTCATTTTGGCAACAAAGAAGTCGCAGAAACGTTTTAAATTTGGGAACTTAGAGGATGGGCGCCAATTCTCTCTTTTGTTATGTTTTACGAGTTGCTGGTTGACAATTGAACTTTCAGAATTGGAAATCTTAGAGAGCACTGCCTTTAGTCAAAGTTTGAATTTTGAAAGAGCACACCAAGTCATTTTCCTTAAAGAAATGTCTGGACAGTAGAACTTTTTCGTATAGCAGGGCATTCAGATTCCTGAAGCCCTAGCCTAGACTTCTCTTTTCACTTGGCGCCGCGTCTGCTTTCTGTTCGTTGGGTAAATCAGCTACCATGGCTAGCTGGCTAGCTGGCTGAATGGCCATTTGGCCATTTCAACACAAAGAGCGAAGCAAACGCATAGAATGCGAACGTCTCACTCGGCGACTAAATTAATCAAAACCGACTTCCGGTTTACGCAAAATGGCGTGAAGTGTGTGACTCTGCGTGAGTGTGTGAGTGTTGAGCGTGTGCTGCCGTGAAATTTTTGTGTGTGCTGTTGAAAATTAATGAATGAGTTAACTGAAAAATTAATGAAAAGCAGACGGTGGCGGCAAAGGTGTTGTGCAAAAGATAAAGCATGAAAATTTATGAAGCAAGCAAAGCAAACAGACCAAACAAAACATATTCACACACACACACACTCATACAAACACATATAGTCTTACAAATCTGAAAAGTTAGACATTCATAGAGAGAGGTGCTTCGTGAAGCAAACTGTGTTTGGTGTTAAAAAATATTTGTTTTGGCACACTCAAACACTCACACATACACTCCAAATCTCAAGCACGGACGTATCATGAAATTATGCAATATTGAAGAGAGAGAGTGAGAGAGAGAGAGAGGGGGGGAGACAGTAAGAGATAGATAGATGGGGCGGAGGTAGCGGGTGGAGCCTCCTGTTCCAGTTTGTTTGCATGCACAACCATTTGAGCTTCCTGTCTGAGGCCCTTTGAGTTACTTAAGTGTAACTAAAACTTTAAGTAAACACACAAATAACATACTTAATATTATACAAAAATATACAGAATCATTCTGAATGCCCTTGCTGATGATTATGATGAGCTAGATGTGCTATCTTCTCTTATTGTTGTAGTTGTTGTTGCTCCCAAAACAAAGGCATTTGCGCAAAGCGGAAATGCGACTCGTCGTTTTTGGTTGGCTGTTTTGGTTATTTGGTTAGTTGCTTCTGTGTATGTGTGTGTGTGTGGAAGTTGAGCAAACAAAAGATAAAAGCTTGGAAAATTTAAATTAACCAAAAATTATGCATGAACATTGCCACAGAATGCGCAGAGAGCAGGCAGCAACCACCTAAACCACCCAACCACTTCACTACGAGCATGACAAATATTAATATTGTTTATGCTAAAACAAGAAGTTAGCCAGCATACACTGATAAAAACGCAAGCAGGTTGATTATAAAACAAATATGCCCAAGCTTGCTACCAACATGAATTATCGACGTAAGCTTATTTTGCTTCTCTTTCAAAAAGTTAGCTAGTTACTTTTTTTTTAAATTAATTCAACAATTTTTTTCACCTTTTGTCAACATGTGTTTCTCCTGCTTCTTATTCCCATTACAAGGTTCAGTCATATAGGCAGATTATTCTGGGTTGCATTTCCCAAAACTACCAGCAGCTCTTGAATATTATTTTAAATATCATAACATCAAAAGTCCTTCATTTTTTCTATATTATTCGACACATTTTAGGTTTCCATTTGTACTGCAAAGGCAAGTGGTATTCAGTTTTAAATGAACTTAAGCTAGATGCTTGCATTTATATACCAACAGGCTCTTAAAATAATTTGAAGAATTCTAATTGGCTTAAACTAAAAAAACACTATGTTCCTAACCCGCTTGTGAAGTTCCAGAAAATATTTGCCAGCCAGAGACTAATTTCTCTCAACTTTCTAAGCATTGAAATAAAAGTTGCATATAAGAATTCCAATTCCAAACCAACTGCTTTTCTCTGAGTGTACCGCGTTGACCTGCCCTGCAATGTCGTCTTTTGTATATGCCTTGGCAACAAACAATGTCATCTACTATATGATTATCATTTCCATGCTTAAGTAGAGGGCGGCAGGCGGGCGGTCAGGCAGGAAGGCAGTCCGGCAGGCGGCTCGCAAAGCCTAGCCTAGTAGAGTAATTTTATGCCCACTTGACAAACAGTCATAAACATTAGCAACAACAACATCAGCTGAAGCAGAGGCAGAAGCAGCAACAGCAACAACAACAGCCAAGCAAAATGAGCAAACAGAGAGCTGTTTGGGCGCTAGTTGGTTAGTGTTGCGCCAATATTGACATAGGCCAGGCGAAAGCCCGGAGGAAATGCCCTAAACTCTATTAAAACTATATAAATATAGTATGTGTGTGCATGCACTTGTATGTACTTATTTATTTATTTATCTAACTATCTTCTGTATATGGATCTGTGTTGCAGGTGATGCCAGCAATGCCAGCATAGGCAGCGGGGAGGGCACCGGCGAGGAGGATGACGATGCGAGCGGCAAAAAGAACCAAAAGAAACGTGGCATTTTCCCAAAAGTAGCAACAAACATATTGAGAGCGTGGCTGTTTCAGCATTTAACGGTAAGTCGTTCACACTCACATATATCTACATATAAGTCGGTTACCCTATAATCACCCACACACAAACACACACACACGAGGCAACTCACTCGTGGCAACGGCCATAACTTTGGCCAATGGCGTGCGCAAAATGGCCAAACAGCAGAAGCAGAAGAAGCAGCAGCGGCAGCAGCAACAACAACAACAACATCGGCCATATCGCGACGCTTTTTACATGCGTCATAAATGGCCGCGGCCGCAAAGATCTTATCAGCCGTGAATGCCGCAATGTGCTGCTGCCCCTCGCACCAACAACAGCAACAACAATAACAACAATAACAACAGAGGCAGCAACAACTTTGTATTACATTGCACTTTCGGTGCGGGTGCGCGAAAATCCAAGCAAACGAAACTACGGTACGCACTGCCTATGCGAAATAAAGCATAAAGAGCAGGTTTTCAAATCGTAATATAATACTATACTATACAAATACTTGTATATTAAAAGCATAATTGCATCTTCATAGAAAATGTTCAGATGTTCATTAAAGGTGCAAGCCAAGCTTTCTATAATAACTCGATTATATTTTTGAAACTAATGCGTTTTTTTTATTAAATAATACACAGTTGTTGCAAGAAAAAGTATAAAATAGGAATCAGACTTAAAGAAATTAGGTATCAGCAAGTGAGTACGCAGCTTTCATAGAAGGGGGGGGGCCAAACAATTAAAAATTTGATTAAATAATGCACGATGCGTTTAAATAATAACTAATGCGTATGGTCAATAGAAAAATTTTAATAAATTGGTTCCATTTTAGTTCCATTTTAAGGCGAAATAGTGCGTCATAATAATGAACGTGTGGTCGACTTTATATGGCAAAATTTGTTGTAGATGCTCAACGACTCCCCCCTGCCCCCTCCTGCGTACTACCCAGGGTATCAGACAATTCTAATATCGAACTAGTCTATGTATTTGTTAGTCAACTGTAAGTGATTGAAATAAAATAAATTGTGATATTAGTTAACTTGTGGAACATTAGTCAGACATGCAAATAAGAAATAAATAGTAGTAGTGGAACAAATCTTTCCACTTCTTACATTCCACATAGTCTGAACGAGGGAGCTTCCTTTTATTTGGCCACAATAGAAATAAATCATTGTTGCTACCAAAGTCTATAATGCCTCAACATCATGTGCATTTCCATCATGATCTGGGCACTCTATCAGCAGTGCAGAGAAGTCACTTTTTTGCAATCATTTGATTGTTCCCGAGCCCCTTATTGCATTTCTACTGTTCCCTCACATATGTTGGTATGCAAGTGTGTCTATATGTTTTAACGGTTGCCTGAACATTTGTGCTCTGCTAGCTGTTTGTTATTAGCTTTTGATAAAAGCGGACTTGGTTCTTTTGCCATTGGGTTTTGCAGAGCTCTGTTGTGTGCGTATACTTAGTATATGCTCGCAAGTGTGTATATATATAGGTTGGCTGATAAGATTAGTGCCTGACTAGTTTGACCGGCTGGCTGACTCTCTGGCTGGCTGGCTAGCTGGCTGGTCCAATGAGCGACAGCAATGGGTGTGGCCAGAAGAGAGCGAGAGCGAGAGAGAAAGAGTGAGCAAGTAGTTGCCAAGTTCTGATCATCAGCAACGATTAGCATTAAAGTTGCAATTGAAATTGAGGCTTTATATAAGCGCCCGACGCACGCGAATAATGCACAACAAAATCTGGCCAGTTACTTAACTAGTTGACTAAGCAGCTTAGCACATACTTCGCTTTATCGATGACAACCCAATTTCAACTCGCACTGTCCCAAGCTCTTAAGGACCACATGAGCCCCACTAGCTGAAGCTCGTCACTCGTCAGGACGAGGCAATGCCACATTTAACTGGCAGGCCCAAATGCAATGACGCCGCTTTCTGTGCTTATTGCTCGGTCATCGAGTCCAATTAGATTTCCATTTGAGCCCATCAAAGTGCTTAGATAAATGGCCAGTGCCGAAAAATAAACCTCAAATGCGGCACTAAAAACAAATTGCAAACGAAAAGGATGCAACTCTCTGAGGCCGAAATCAAAGTTCACAGCTAAACTATGCGCACTGAACTCTGACCAGCTTGAAACGGTCCAGGAATCAAAGTAATGGCTATGGCAGTGGTAACGAAACGGAAAAGGATGTAATACAAATAAACAGATTTGTTATGCGCCATTTTATGTTAAGCAGGACATTTGGAGACGTCGCCTCATCCTTCGAATGTGTGTGTGCGTGTGTGTGTGTGGTCATAAAAAATTGAAATCCGACTCAAGAACGCAAATACCAGTGTGTCCAAGGTAAGAGCCACAAAGTGGTCGCTGCGGTTGCACACACATAAACAGCAACAACAACAACAACAACAAAACTACAACAATTTAGAGGGCAAGGGTTGTTTGTTGCATGGAGAAAAACAAAACTATAAGATTTTATAGCGAACGGTCAAGCGACGGTAAGGAAGTTCGAAACTGAGCTTCATTGGCCATTAGCTGAGAATCTTCTTCTACTGCTTACTTTTATTTTATTTTTTGTCTTTTTTCTGCCACTGCGTATGTAAAATGATAAAAATCTTAATGGAATTTTGTAAATGTGCTCTTTCCCATTGCCCGTTTAGTGCTGATGTTGGTGTTGGTGTTGGCGGAAGCTGCCGGAACACTGACAGCAGCGTCCTCGCCTAGTAGCAGAGTAGTGGTGACCAGCGTCCAGACACTTGGCCCGAAACGATAAGCAAACAAATCGGAAATTAAAGTTGAAGCTGAGGCATTTCACAAAAGTCGGACATGGAGTAAAAATAAAAATTTATCTATATTATATGTGGGTCCATATATACTTACATACATGCGAGTATGTCTGTGAGATAAGTTTAAAAATAGATGGAAATGTGTGGCCCACAACCGCCAGCACCACTACTAATGGAAGGCAGCCCACACTCTGTAGACAACGCGTAGACGCATTAACCCAAAGCAATCGAAATGTCCCCATCCCACCCCCACCACCACTACCCTAAACTGCAGCCCAACCAACCCACAGTCTGACATTGATGAATTGCCGTTTAAATCAGCGCATCAGTCATGTTTGTTCAGACCGTGCCGTTGGCGGCTCGACTTTCACATCCTGGCGCTCCGATTCTTCTTCAATTGCCAATAGTGGTAGGTAGTCGGCTTAATGCCATTAACAGTGATTTGCAGCAGCATTAGGGAAATTGTTTTTCACTTGTTTTCTTTTTCAGTTTTTTTTTTTTTTTGTTTGTTTGTTGTCCCAGTAATGGCGACGGGGATATGCGCAGCGTTTCAAACTTTAATTTTGTATTCAAAGCAGTGGTTGTTGTTTCTAATGCACAGTGGTGTTAAACAGTTATTTCCGACCATACGCAATATTGATGAATGGAAGTCAATAGCTTGATCGACGAATCTTATCAGAGAAATGGAGACTTTTTGCAAGGCACATTGTTGAGCTCTACTTTTAATTTGTTGAAAGGTAAACATTAAAGGCATTATTTCGAAATTACTTCAAATAATTTCAAATAATATATAGGTCGGTTCATTCTAACAAATTTTGATTTAGAAAATTATACCACATTTTTGCATTTTTCAACCGCTGTTGCCTCTTCAACTTGCACAAGAATTTACGGAATTAGGAACTGAATGAAATTAATCAGTTTATCGGTATTGCAGATCCATAATGTTGAAGATTTGCTTGACTAACATTTATTTACGACCTGCGACCCACTGTGCCATTGCTTTCTTTTTGTTGTTTGTCGATTTGATTTATCGCCCCGAGCATAGCGGCGGGTGTGGGGCACACAGTCGCCATTTAATTTAAACCACACGTATGCTACTCATCCCTTGCCCTTCTCTGACCTGCCCACCCCCTGCAGCTAGACAAGCGCATTAAATGCCAATTTCTGTAATTAACAGTTTTCAGTTTTCGTTTCTTGATAACCACTGCCAAGAGAAATTTGAGGCGCGCCGCATCCAAATGCAACGCAATGCCAGCAATTTGAACCGCCATGACTGACAGGCCCAAGACCCAGACCAGAGATGACGATCAAGACGATGGAGGAGTCCACCATGGCGACGATGGGCTATCGCAATGGCTATGGCCATGGCAATGGCGTTGGTAAAGCCGTTAAAAACCAGACCCCAAATAAGACGACGACGACGACGGCGACGATGAAGACAGTGACGATGACGATGATTGCAAAGCAAATGGCAAATGCGTTGTCGGGCGACGTTGCTAATGAAGAGCGTTTAATGTGTGGAGGGGGGTTAAGGGGAGGGTTAAGCGCACTGGCCAACCAAAAACAAAAGGCTGGCAGACATAATGCAGCAACAACTACAACGATGGGGGGGGGAAAAATGCAATGCAATGCATGACTGGGTCTCTCATTCCTTATTTTTCTTCTTTTTTTTCTTGTTACTTGTACTTGCGACTTTTGCGTGGTTGTTGTTGGCATGTAGCTGATTGTTGTTGCTGTTGCTGTTGTAGTTGTAGCCGTTGCCATAATTATGGCAGGCGCGCGAATATTTTGTTTACATTTGGCGCGCATTGCAGACAACAACAACAGCAACAACAACAACAACTGCAGCAGCAACACCAAAGGCAAAAAGTTTCATTTCGCGTTCGCATTTCGTGTGCTCCGCCTACTCGCTATGGCCATGCAACGACCCCCTTTCCCTCCCTCCGTCCCTCACTCACCAGCCGGGCCCCTTAACCGCCGCTGTAGGCCCCTCCCCCCCTTCCCCCATCCCCATTTCCGAGTGAGTGCCATGTGTGCGGCGCGCAATTTCTTCCGGCCATTGTCGGGGCGTCCCATTTACTCCAACATACTTACCCACACACACAAACACACATGAGCTTTGCTGTACTTGTGCATGCATGTGTGTGTAGTGTGTGTGTGTGTGTGTGAGCATGTGTGTGTGTGTGTGTGAGTTTGCTTGTAAAAGCAACCCCCGAAAAATGCGCAAAATGCTGAGCCTTGGCAGAAATGATGCG